AATTTGATAGATTTAAATTATTTTAACGATTTCAGCGATTTATTTCCACCAGGAGTGCCGTAAAAAGGTGAATATTGTTGTGTAGTTTACATCCACTTCTTCAGAGGGCAGTAGTGCGCGGCAGCATTTTGCGGTGTTTTGTGGTTACAGGTTTTAGGCCGTCATGTCCTCTCTCAGGTTTCTCTCTGTCATTAGTTAGGACGACGGTAGCGCAACTCAGGGAACAGTTACAGTAACTAAACTTACCAACGTATAGTAGGAAGGCCGAGCTCGAACATAAGTTGAAGCAATACAAGGATGGGGAATCTACCGATGATGAAACGAGTGAGGACGAAGAAGACGAAGACAACAGTGATGAAGAAAAGGCAAGCGACGCTGAAGTAAGCGAAAGAGAAGAAGAGGCTTACTCACGTACCATCAGATCGCGAAATGAAGTGAGGCAAAAAAGAACGCACGCCCGAAGAAGTCGTACAGACGATGCTAGTGTAAAAAATCAACTTCCTAATTTTTATTTTTAAATATCCCGCGATACCGCGCTGGTAGTTGGTAGTGTGTGTACCGCTGGAGTTGTAGATGGCGAGGCTGTAGAGGGAAGAAGGAGGACGTTGTTCGTTGTACTTGGTACGAGACGCATGTATGTGCGCGGAAGGACGAGTTAAGTCCGAATAAAGTGATTGCGAGTATTCTGGTGTTGTTGATTAAGATTAAGATTAAGTGCTTATTTAAGCGAGCCTATTCTGGTTTAATCCATCCTGATAATATTCCAATAACGAGAACACCTTAGTGGCTTCCTTAACGGTAGTTTCCCTCGTTTTATGATTCCCGCCATTGTGGAATTACGACTCCTTTTCCTTTCGTTTCCTGCTTATAGACATTCTTGGAGTTTCCTATTCATATCCTACGGGATATCTTACACTAGCAACTTTTTTACTATTAAAGACATAGAAAAAAGCATCTTTCACTTTTCCGGAGACGACATGGTGCAAGTAGAAAAATGTAAACAGTCATATTCTCGAAATGGCCGCGATGTTGAAACCAAGCGCGAAGTATAATCGAAGAGCCTCGATCATTGAAGGCCTTCGCGCTGGGCACTCACTATTGATGCCAAAATCAACCGGAGGTATGACCGATGGCTCGCCTACAATCCCGAGGATGTCCCTGTTGCTAGAACGAAATTTCCGGCCAATGTTCACGTACTAGATGTCGTGTCCAGTGAGGATGATGTCATACCACCACATTTCATTAAAAAAGGGGAAACTGTCACAAAAGAAGTGTATTTGCGTGTTCTAATGGATGTAGTGAAGCCGTAGATGGAAACTGTGACGTCCGAAAGACCATATGTTTTTCAACAGGGCGGTGCATCGGCTCATACGAGTCATTTGATTCAAAATTGGCTCTCAGACAATGTCGATATGTTTTGGTCCAAGGAATTCTGATCTCCTAATAGTCCAGATTTAAATCCTTTGGACTATTACGTATGGGTAGTTGAAAGGATCACTAACAAGTTTTGGTATCCTAATATGATGTCATTAAGGACCACTATTGAGGCAGTATTTTTCGGTATGGACAGCGCTACATTACAGCGTGCGTGCGAACGCTTCAGATCGAGAATAGAGGCCGTCATTCAAGCTAATGGGGGATATATCGAATAATTATCCTCTATAGGGATCTCCCAAGTGCCACGTAAAAGGATTTTTTGTAATATTTAATTTTTCATTAACATTATTTTGTTGAAAGAAATTGTTCGATTTGTCCGGATTTTGGTGACGCACTCTGTACTCGGTATAAAATTCACACTAGTAACTGATTGCTTGCCATTGCAAAAGACGTTAAACAAGACTGACATCTCTACCAAAGTTGCAAGATGGACATTGATATTAGAGGAATACGAATATGAAGATAGGAAACCGCCTCAAGCATGTCGACGCACTTAGCAGACTGAGTGATAACAATTACAGATAAGTTGACGCCAGTAATAAAAAAGCAGCAAGATGAAGAAGAAAAGCTAAGAGTGATCAAGAAGATTTTAGAGAAAGAATCATACGAAGATTGTCTGCGAGAACGGTATTCTGATGAAGGGAATCGGAGATAAAGAAGTTATCGTACTACCTACAAGCATGTATTAGAACGTGATACGTAAGGTACACGAAAATGGACACTTCGATGTTAAGAAAATGTTGAAAACTATAAAATTGGTGTATTACATTCCGAACTTGACAGAAAGACTTGAGAAGTACGTAAGTTGTTGCGTACAATATATCCTAGCTGAAAAAAAGGCTGGAAAAAAAGAAGGGTTTATTGAAGCCCATACTAAAGGATGACGTTTCACTACTGTGGGCGTACAATATGATTTTCAATGAGACACTCTATGCTTTCTGATCTGTTTCTTTACTCGCCATAATACATTCTGTTTCTTCTTCTACGTCACTTCCTTCTTCTTCGGCAGCGCCGACAAGTACGCGAAGAACTAACGCGCTTGATTACCGACTGTCGCAATAATAAATTAAATTCTTGTTGTTTCTCTGGCCACACTACCACGTACCATTTCCCCACCGGTCTCGCTCTGGGGAATTGGAACTCGTCGACTCTTCAAATCGACTATAATTCTGACACTTGCCGCCTGTGGCGGCAGTTCTACGATACTGGCCGTGTCATCTCAGCTAGGAATTTGGGGACGAGGCCATATTACCAAGATTGATTTGACCAACGTACCATATTGATCATCTTGAACCAATGACAGCGACTTTCAAATTATATAAGTATCTATTTATCGTTGTAGACGGAGTTCCAACGAACCATCCGACCGTTACGGACGCGTTTCGGTTCGGGTGCTTTCCATAGTATATTTTTGAAAGTGTTGCCGACTTCGACTGAGCAATTGAATCCCAAGGATGGGTGTCCGCGGATGGGCTCGTCTCGATTGTTCGGCGTTTCGTCGACTAGGACTCCTGACGCGCGTTGTTGCGGTGTGACGACGCCGTAGACGCAGGCGCCCGGTGACCGTTCGAGCAACGCCATTTTCGCGGGCATTGCATCACTCGCTATTGTTATACCAGAGAGAAACCTGAGAGCGGCCATGGAGGCCTTTTTCTTGTAATGCTTCTAACTCCCCGTACACTAGCGGCACCAACGTCTGCGGGAACTACGTACCACATCCATTTTCGTAAACCGCCGTCTCGCCGATAAAATCTTTTCGTCGAAAGTGGACGTGGTTCGGGTCCGTGTTAAATCAGGATAAAGAATATTTGCTCAGTATGAGTGAGCGCGACAACTCGATACGTCCGTTCTTTTCTCGTTCGGCAACCTTTGACGCATCGAGAGAGAGAGCGAGACAGCGAGACGCACGTCACGAACGTCCCGTCCTTCTCGCTCGGTCGCTTGTTTCGAGCGACTAAAACTGTTTTCTCAGCGATCTCCGCCGTTCGGCGCGTGCCGTATATACCGAGTGGGGCAATAACTTTGCCACCTTAAATATCTCCGCTATTTTCAGAGATATGAAAATATTGTTATTACAAAAGTTGTAGGGCATCAAGAGAACTATAACATATGCTAGTTATAATTTTTCTAGGTGGAGGCGCTTCGGAGATTTCGAGGTCGACCTCATTTTTTTAAATGGAATTATATGAATTTTTTCACTATATATGATTCCTCTAATTATAACCAAAAGACCCTACTAACAAAATGATTGGTAAACTTAAGACTTTGTTAGTGAGATGGAAGAATTGCAAGTATATTGATGAAGGTTGTTATAAGCGTCTCAGATGTAATGAAGGTTCACTTCCTAGGGGATATGGCTTACCTAAGATTCACAAACAAGGTTGCCCATTCAAGATTATAGTTTCGTCTGTTGGTAGTCCCTTTTATAATATTGCTAAATTCTTACATAGGCAAATTATTAGAAGAATTCCGAGACCATCGAGTTGTGTTTTTAATCTTGAGTTCGGTATAATTGATTCCTGATTTTAATCACTCTAGAGTATTTTTCATTCGTATTAACTCATGCGATTTTCTTATAAGGTCACAAACTGGGACATTTACCTTATAGGACATCAAGAGAACTATAACATATATGCTAATCATAATTTTTCTAGGTGGAGGCTGTTGCGTATAATTCTTAAGTTTCCCGCGAATGTTCCTACATTACTTCGAGCTTTCGCATGTATCCGTAGATTATTAAGTTACTAGTTTCGAGTATGTTCCGCAGCGCCACATTCTAGTGTATTTTCTTTGTGTTCGTTACCTAGCCTTACGTTTTTTCCGTTAAGAAGCGTGATTCCCGCGCAAGTCAGTCTCTCTCACGCAGCTTCATAGTGGCAATAGTATTGCAATAAAGAGCATTTTTATACATCAAGTGTTTTTTGCATTTATTTTCGTGCGTGCAATCCACGTATCGAAATCAAAATATAATTAGCGTACACATACGCACGTGACGCAGTTTCACAAGGGGAAATATCAAAGGTTTCCCCAACATTTTGGTCCTTCGAGCCGGATGTCTCTCAAACATTACGAGAGTCGTTACTATTGCCGCATTGGACATTATTGCATACTTCGTATTGAGGCACAATTCCACGAAGTAAAAAAGCACATAAGCCGAGTTGTATACTCGGAAGCGTGAGTAATCGTGGTCGTCGAAACAGTCAGTTTTCTCTAGCCATTGAGAAGCTGAAATAAAGCATTTGAGGAACTAAGGCACCACGCATCGACATACTGGGCAAGCAGTACAAGGCACAGCAGCCATATTGTGCAGCATCGCAGCCATCTTGGACATTGTCGCCAGTTGAATTGTTACACAAGGACAAGGTTACCTGTCAGCAACCAGGAAAGAACGTCGACAAGGCGCGTTCACAACCACAATCGGCATCAATCATCGAGTCATCGTCTGGCGAAGCTCATTTTTCACATGATTAAGTAACACATACACAACGATTCATATATTGTCTTTCTTATCATTTGTCATTTACACGTAAGTTTGCATTTATTATTCGTCATAACGAATCAAAATGAGTTTAACGGAAAACGAAGCGAAAATTAGGCGAAGAACTATAAAGGCTTCTGCCACACGATTGCGTAGTTATGTAGAATCTCCGCAAGCCGAGCATGCAACAAAGTTTGAATTGATTGAACGTAAGAAAAAGTTAGCGGACTTATTTCAGCAATTCGATGAAGTCCAATCATCCATTGAATGTTTTGATTCGAGCCTTGATGATCCAAACACAACCGCGGCACATGCTGAAGAGCGTGCTCGGTTTGAGGAAGCATACTTTCACCTCATGGCGATTTATGAACGACGTATCAGTCAGCTTGAACATGCGGATATTAACTTTCAATTTGCTAATAATAATAATTTTAATCAAGCTGCACCACGAAACAACACAGAGTCACAAATTAAGTTACCAAGAATTCAATTACCTACATTTTCGGGTGCTTATGAAGATTGGTGCACGTTTCATGATTCGTTCGATAATCTTATACATAATAATGCGAGTCTATCAGCAATACAAAAATTTCATTATTTACGTTCGTCATTAAAGGACAAGGCTGCTGAGGTTATTAAGGCCTTTGACATTACAGTTGATAATTATACTGAAGCTTGGAAGTTGCTTAATGAGCGTTTTGATAATAAGAAGCGTATAGTTCAAACACATGTTAGGGCAATGTTTGAGATAACTCCAATTCATAAGGAAAATTATACCGCTTTGCGGAATTTGCTTGATAACGTACTTAAACATTTCAGAGCTCTTAAGGCCCTTCAAAGGCCGGTAGAATCTTGGGACGACATGATGGTCCATTTGGTAGTGGCCAAGCTTGATTCTTCTACAGTTAAAGAGTGGCAGACAAGTCGTGTGGACAACGCAATACCTACTTTCAAGGAACTTACTGATTTTTTAGCACAGAGATGTGAGGCTTTGGAAGCTACCTTTAACAAGTCATTGACATTACGATCAAATTGTGAGTCTCCGAACAGTTCTCGGAAGGCCAAGAATCCTAGTTCACATGTAAGCACATCGAATCAGGTTTGTGTTCATTGCAAAAATAATCATTTCATATTTCAATGTGAGGCATTCCGCAAATTACCTGTTGAAAAACGTTTTGAAGTCGTAAAAAATTCACATTTATGCATTAATTGTTTGAAAGCTAAGGGACATCAAGCAAAGGATTGTATGTCTAGTTCTTGTCGAAAATGTGGAAAGTCACATAATACGTTATTACATTTTGAGTCTAAGGCTAACACAACAAACATTGAAAATCAATCTTCTAACGATTCTCCCAAAACAGCTAATGTGTCATTGTCAGAGTCTACATCGCCAGTAGTTACTCAATGCACTCAAATCAATGCATCTAAGATTTTTATTTCTACCGCTATAGTTACTGTGTACGATAATCAAGGACAGCCTCATGGCTGCAGAGCTTTGTTGGACAGCGGTTCGCAATTAAATTTTATTACACAAAACTTAGCGAGCAAGTTGGGGCTTAACTGTCGTGCAATAAACATGTCGATTTGTGGAGTCGCGGAAGGAACATTTGGATCAAAGGAAATAACTAATGTTAGTTTTCGATCGCGAATCAATAAGTATACGAATAATCTTGAATGCGTAGTCCTTCCTAAAATCACGCAAAACTTACCACAAGAATTTTGTCCAATGTCTGAGTTTAAGCTTCCAACAAATATTGTTCTTGCAGATCCTAATTTTAATATTCCTAGTGAGGTCGACTTACTCATAGGGGCTCAGATGTTTTGGCAGCTCATTTGCATAGGTCAAATTAAGGCGTGCAGGGCGCATCCCACGCTACAAAAAACTAAACTTGGTTGGGTGGTTTCCGGTTCTACATACGGACACTCGAACAGCATGGCAGTTGCATCCTGTCATATTACTTCGATTAATAATTTAGAAAAATCTCTGTCCAGATTCTGGGAGGTCGAACATGATGTCGCTTCCGAATGTAAAGTTCAATACACTCCTGAAGGGCAAAGGTGTGAAACACAATTTCAAGAAAATGTTTCTCGCGATCCTGAAGGTCGTTTCATAGTCAAGTTGCCCATTAACGATGATAAAATGCAACAGTTAGGCGAGTCTTATGAAATTGCAAAGCGTCGTTTCCTCAAATTAGAAAGGCGTTTATCTTTTCAACCGGAAGTATATTCACAATATAAAAAATTCATGCAAGAGTATATTGATTTGAATCACATGCGCGAGATAAAATTGTCTACAAATCAAGAAGTAGCTTATTACTTGCCACATCATCCAGTGTTTAAAGAAAGTAGTACGACGACAAAATTAAGAGTAGTATTTGATGCTTCATGCAAAAGTGCATCGGGATTGTCATTGAATGATGCATTATTGGTTGGTCCGACTATTCAGGAGGATCTATTTTCACACTTAGTGCGTTTCCGCACATTTCGATATGCAATGACTGCAGATATAACTAAAATGTATAGGCAAATTTTGGTGGATGAATCTCAACGACATTTGCAGCGTATTTTTTGGCGCAATGCTCCTCAAGATGAGCTGAGAATTTTCGAACTCTTAACTCTTACATATGGCACTGCTCCAGCCTCATTTCTCGCTATTAGGACTATACGAAAGCTTGCAGAAGACGAAATAAATTCATTTCCTGTCGGTTCAAAGACAATATTACGTGATTTCTATGTAGATGATTTGCTCACAGGCGCATCTACTCTCCAAGAGGCATTGGAAATAAAAACACAAACTATCGAATTGTTAAAAAGAGGAGGTTTTGAGCTGAGAAAATGGTCATCCAATAGTTCATCTCTTCGAGATGCACAGGGAACTCATAAGAAAAGGTTCATTTTGGCTGGGGATCATGGTAATGAAACCAGAGCACTCGGCGTAATTTGGAATTGTGAATCAGATATTTTCAAATTCGAAAGCATTGGACAACATTCATTGTTAAAAGAGCCTACCAAATGTAGTATATTGTCTAGAATAGCATTAATATTTGATCCTTTAGGATTACTAGGGCCATCTATCGTAATTGTTAAAATCATAATGCAAGAGTTATGGCGCGCTAAAGTTGATTGGGATGAGTCAATATCCCACGAATTACATACACGTTGGAAGGAATATGAGCATAAATTACAGAGTCTTGGTAGTATTGAAATTTCACGCAAGGTTATCACATCTGATGATGTACAAGTCAGGGAAATTCATGGTTTTTCAGATGCAAGCCAACAAGCATATGGTGCATGTATTTATCTTCGATCCATTTCTAGTGATGGTAGTATTGAGGTTCAGTTATTGTGTTCCAAATCTAGAGTAGCGCCTCTTAAGACATTGTCGATTCCTCGTTTAGAACTGTGTGGCGCACTACTGTTAGCGCAGTTGACAAAAAGGGTATTAAACTCTCTACCGTTCACGGTGGATGCAACTTATTTATGGACAGATTCGAGTATTGTTTTGTGTTGGCTTCGATCATGCAGTCGGCAATGGACGCCATTTGTAGTCAATCGCATTTCCGAGATTCAGTCTATTACTAATATTAAGGTTTGGAGACATGTTCCCAGTCAGGAGAACCCTGCCGATTTACTCTCTAGAGGCATCATGCCAGACGTTTTACAGAAATCAGACTTATGGTGGACTGGCCCAACATGGCTGAAATTAGATGAAGCTTTTTGGCCTTCTGAGAATTTTTCTTCATCACAGATAGAATTACCTGAAAGAAGGGTTACGGTTTTGTTAGCTGAAACAAAGGTTAAGAATCAACTTGACATTTTTAATCGATTTTCGAAATTGTCTACGCTCGTGCGCGTTATTGCCTTCTGTCAAAGATTTGCACGTAATTGTAAATTGAAGAGGGCTCATGATTCAGGTAATAAGAATAATGTAATTCCGCAATTGTCGGTTGATGAATTGGAGGAATCTCAACTAACCCTTATAAAACTAGTGCAACGCGATTCATTTAAGGCAGAATTGAATTCTATTGAGCATACTAAACATGTAAATAAAAACAGCAACGTTTTTAAAGTTGAACCCATTTCTCGATTCACAAGGTGTTTTAAGAGTCGGTGGTCGATTGAAGTATGCTAGCGTGCCATTTGAACATAAGCATCCAATTTTGTTACCTGGTAAACATCCCTTCACAAAAATGATTATCATCCGTGAACACAAGCGTCATTTACATGCTGGAGCGCAAGCTACTTTATCAGCCATTCGTCAAAATTATTGGCCGACATCGGCCAGAAGCATCATTCGTAGTATATTAAGTAAATGCGTAACATGTTTTCGTAATTCACCCAAAATAAATACAACATTAATGGCGGATTTGCCGCAAGCGCGAGTAAATTCGGTGCATTATGCGTTTGAAAGATGCGGCGTAGATTACGCAGGACCGTTTTGGTATAAGAAAGGTCAAAAAAGAAGTACTAAAATAATAAAGTGTTATATAGCGGTATTTGTGTGTTTAGCTACGAAGGCGATTCATATAGAGCTTGCAGCAGACCTTTCTTCAGAAACTTTTTTAAATGTTCTTAAGCGTTTTATTTCCAGAAGAGGACGTCCTGCGGAGATGCATTCAGATAACGGCTTAAACTTTGTCGGGGCTAAGCATGAGCTTAATGAATTGTATAAATTGTTCACTGACGACATTGTCAAGCAAGGAATCAACAATCTGATGACAAGCGAAAAAATAAAGTGACAGTTTATTCCACCTAGAGCTCCGCATATGGGTGGTATTTGGGAGGCGGCTGTAAAAAGTGCCAAATCTCATTTGAAGCATTTAACTAAGGAGGCAGCTTTGAAATACGATGAGTTATTCACTTTAATAGTTCAAGCGGAGGCTGTGCTAAATTCCAGACCGATTATGCCTCTTTCAAGTGATCCTAACGATCTTAATGCTCTTACTCCAGGGCATTTTTTAGTGGGAGGCCCGATCATGGCCTATCCCGAGCCTAGTTTGGAAAATATTCGGACAAATAGATTGTCGCGATGGCAAAGAGTCGAACAGTTAAAGCAGCATTTTTGGCGTCGATGGATTAACGAATATTTACATCATTGTCAAGTTAGAGTCAAATGGAATACCTCTGAAGCTCAGGTAGAAGTGGGGCAAATGGTGATATTACGAGAAGAAAATTTACCACCTCTATGTTGGGCTCTAGCTCTTGTGGAGAGCGTCCATCCTGGGCATGATGGAATTGTACGTGTTGTAACTGTTCGAACGGCCAAAGGACTGTATAAACGTCATATTACAAAACTATGTAGTTTACCTATTTCATAATAGCGATGCAGACTTCCTATTTTTATTTTTATTATTGAAAGCCGAAGCTTTCAAGGGCGGCGGTATATGTTGCGTATAATTCTTAAGTTTCCCGCGAATGTTCCTACATTACTTCGAGCGTTCGCATGTATCCGTAGATTATTAAGTTACTAGTTTCGAGTATGTTCCGCAGCGCCACATTCTAGTGTATTTTCTTTGTGTTCGTTACCTAGCCTTACGTTTTTTCCGTTAAGAAGCGTGATTCCCGCGCAAGTCAGTCTCTCACGCAGCTTCATAGTGGCAATAGTATTGCAATAAAGAGCATTTTTATACATCAAGTGTTTTTTGCATTTATTTTCGTGCGTGCAATCCACGTATCGAAATCAAGATATAATTAGCGTACACATACGCACGTGACGCAGTTTCACAAGGGGAAATATCAAAGGTTTCCCCAACAGAGGTGTTTCGGAGATTTCGAGATTAACTTCATTTTTTTAAATGGAATTATATGAATTCTTTTTCACAATGATTCCTCTAATTATTCTCTCTGTACATAAAAGTATCAAGGTAGAGATATAAAAAACCAATAGTTTACGAGATATTTTACACATTCTTTTGGTACATATTGATATAAAATGTTTAATAACTCGTGAACTATTGACTTTTTGATAATCGTACTTTTTAATGCTTTTGTAAACAGTATAATAAAATGAATCAATTGGTGTAAAGAAAACACATATATAGCTGCTTATTTCTAAATTATCCATTTTGCATACATATTTTTTTATAGCAACTATGTGTTTTCTTCATACCAATTGATTCATCTCATTATACTGTTTACAAAAGCATTAAGGTACGATTATCCAAAAGTCAATAGTTCACGAGTTATTAAACATTTTATGTCAATATGTACCAAAAGAATATGTAAAATATCTCGTAAACTATTGGTTTTTTTATATCTCTACCTTGATACTTTTATGTACAGAATAATTAGAGGAATCATATATAGTGAAAAAATTCATATAATTCCATTTAAAAAAATGAGGTCGACCTCGAAATCTCCGAAGCGCCTCCACCTAGAAAAATTATAACTAGCATATGTTATAGTTCTCTTGATGCCTTACAACTTTTGTAATAACAATATTTTCATATCTCTGAAAATAGCGGAGATATTTAAGGTGGCAAAGTTATTGCCCCACTCGGTATATACCGCACGCGCCGAACGGCGGAGATCGCTGAGAAAACAGTTTTAGTCGCTCGAAACAAGCGACCGAGCGAGAAGGACGGGACGTTCGTGACGTAGCGTCTCGCTGTCTCGCTCTCTCTCGATGCGTCAAAGGTTGCCGAACGAGAAAAGAACGGATGTATCGAGTTGTCGCGCTCACTCATACTGAGCAAATATTTTTTATCCTGATTTAACACGGACCCGAACCACGTCCACTTTCGACGAAAAGATTTTATCGGCGAGACGGCGGTTTACGAAAATGGATGTGGTACGTAGTTCCCGCAGACGTTGGTGCCGCTAGTGTACGGGGAGTTAGAAGCATTACAAGAAAAAGGCCTCCATAGCCGCTCTCAGGTTTCTCTCTGGTTATACTTAAGACGAAAAGACTTTAGACCATGGTAGAAATACAATGGTATTCTCATCCCGTGGACGAATTTAGAACTCTACTGCGCATCAGCTTGATGACGTCACATTCGTGTTAACTCGGTACTTTTCGGAGCGCTTCGATTCGATAAAAGCTATGGCTGCCTTCTGCTACATGCGTGTACGTAAGAGCGTCAGCGTGACCATTTGCCGTTGGACATTTGAGCCTTACGTGATTTACGTGATTTTACGTGAATTTTGGC